AAATAAAATCACGGATCTGGTCTCTCTCCCTGATCTTTTGTCCCTGGTCTCCCTACACTTATGTGGTTTCTCCTTACTGCCATCAGAATATTCTGAAATACAAATCTGATCATGTCAATTCCATATTCAAAAAGTTCTGGTAGCCCTCTACTGTCTAAAGAACAGATTAAACATTTTTAACATAGCAGGTCTTCAAAAGCCCAGTCGCCTGACCAGCATGATCTTCCAATATTCTTTTTCCTCTTTCCACTTTCTGCTCTGATCAAAGAACTAAACTATTGTCCCAAGAGATACATGCTTGCACACCTGCGTCCACCCTGTTTGGAAGGCCTTTTTAATACATCTTCATTCCCTGGGAGCAAGTTCAAATCTAAACAAGTCCGTGGCTCTCACGGCAGGCTGTTCCCATCGCAGGCGCTCTCTCCTTTCCCTAGCAGGTTATGTTTATGATTTTACCTGTTACAGCACCTGTGTGTGCATTCAGATGTATTTTCACTAACGACTGAAGGGTAGCAGAACACGCCACCCAAAACATGTCATATTGGCATAAGGATTATTTCTAGCTACAGGCCGATTGAAAAGCAGACAGATACAAGAAAAGCTCTCTGCTCTACCCTATCTGACGAAAAGCAGGACATAAATTTAGAAAGGTGTCCCTCCTCCCTTCTCCACCAGAAAGGACAAAAGTTCCTCCCGGGAGAGGGCTTTGGACCCTTATCAGCTTAGTCAAGGCACCAAAGGAATCTACATAACAAACATTACTAATTAGACTTTATCTACCATTAGTCTCCCGTATATTTGCCTTCCCACAATTTGCTTTCCCTTAAGAGACTCAAGGTCCTTCTCCTTTGTGTTGTCACTTCTCAAAAAACGTATTGCTCCTTGTTGAAAGGCTACATAAGCCAGAGTTCCAAGCCACCTCTTTTGAGAATTACTCTTTTCCTGAGTTTTCTCAATACACTTCTGTTTTTCTCTTGTTAATCTGTCTTTTGTTAGAGGTCCAAGCTGAGAAACTGGAAGGGTAGAGGGAAAATTATTTTTCTTCTCCTACATTATCTATCCCCGCAAACCCCAAGAGTCTGCAAGATGTTCCGAAGAAGTCAGGGCATGGTAAGTGGTTAAGTGCTCAGTAAATGCTTTCAGAAAGAATAAAGGATGGAGAGACAGTCCTCATGGCTTTTTTGCAGAGCCGCTTCTGAAATGTGGGCCTGCTCAGACAGCAACTGCGAAAGGAGCTTCATATAGGAGATGGGGAGTTGTTTAGCTTCAGAAGCAATAAAAAACTGGTCCTTGGGTTTCGAAATTGTAATATATAGATACACATGAAAATGGCAAGATTTTAAATCATTACTTAAAAGGCACCTTTGTTTACATGGCATTTACAACAGACACAGTTTGAAAATCGTCTACAGATTATGTGTGCTGGCAAAGCCGACATGGTAATGATTTCACTAGCAGAAGAGGAACACAGCCAGCCACCATCAAACAAATCAAACCACTGTGCAAATTAACCACCTTCTCAGCTACTTACATAAAATATTCTTTCTGCTTTTCTTTCTTTTTGTTTTCTTGAGACAGAGTCTCGCCCTGTCGTGCAGTGGCACGATCTCAGATTATTGTGGTCTCCCACTCCCAGGTTCCAGGGATTCTCCTGCCTCAGCCTCCCAGCTCGCTGGGACTACAGGCACACGCCACCATGACAGCTAATTTTTGTATTTTTAGTAGAGACGGGGTTTCACCATGTTGGCCAGGTGGGTCTCGAATTCCTGACCTCAGGTGATCCACCCGCCTCGGCCTCCCGAAGTGCTAGGATTACAGGCGTGAGCCACTGCGCCCAGCCTCTTTCTGTTTCTGTATCAGGGACCTGGTCAGGTGAAGCTCAAAGAATTATTAAATGTCCATTTTTCATCATGTTACAGTAAGTTGACAGCTACTTATACAAGGAACAATTCAAACTCATAAGCAAGCAATTCAAACACTTACAATCTTTTTAGAGATGACAGTCCCCAAAAGGCACCTGGATCTATACTACTAATAAGATTGTTTCGGAGATCCCTGTTAAAAATAAAATAAAAGTTATTCACATATCAACACTGTAACAAGTATTCAGGTACACCACACTTACCTGCTACACAAAAAAACAAAAGTGTAATAGGAGGAAACTGAAGCCAAAATGATTAGGCCAAGATCAAGCCAGTAGTAAATGGCAGTCAGAATGCAAATTTGACAAATCTAGCTCCGGAGTCTTTTGGTTTGGTAAATAAAAGAATAAAAATATATGTCATAAAAGAAGTATGTGACCTAATATATTATTCAACTTCACAATTATCACTGAACTACAATCATATACATTACTTCTATAATTTCTTCCTTAGTATGCCATACTTTGGATA